GGTCCCAGAAATCGTCTCTTCTTCTTCTTCTTCCTCTTCCGGGGATGATGAAGACGGGAATAAGATAGTGGCCCTATTTGAAAATGTAGAACAGAAAATTCGCAATCTTATCTTACATCTCGGAAAGTTATTAAATCGCCAACCGATCGAAACATTACGTGCCCAGCTATGAAAATAACACAGGCAGTTTAATAATGAATTCTTATGCATAATTAAATCAGAGAGTCCAATAAGATCTTATTTTCAGTCGCCCTTACGGTTTCGATCAGATTTCGCGACAGGCTCGAGACACAAAGAGTACGCTTAAATCGACAAGGCCATGAAGCAAACGGATCAAGAATGCTGCCCAAACAATAGCATCTTTAAGTGTCTTTGCTAATTCACTGAGAAATCCTATGAAGTTTTTTGCCACTGAAAGCTTTAATGACAAAAATTAATGGGGTCTTCGAATCTGTTTAGACGATAACGTTAGTGAGTACACTGCTTAGATTTCTCCATCGGCCACAACAGTGTATCTGTTAGGCCATTACTCTCAAATCAGAAACGGAAAAACAATAAGCGATCATCACAAATTCAACGAAAAAATAGCAATTGCATATATCAGTCGGATAAGACAGACGGAGACGCAATTCAGTAAGTCACCTTCTAGACACAAAAGGCTGGCAACTTACCTTCTCCTCTTCACTAGGCAGACAGAATTCTAGGAGGAGCTGGACGACGGTGGCATCCTGACTGATAACCAGAGCTGCCCGGAGTCGGTCACACTCCTCATCGGAGGCGATGAGAGCAGCTGATTGTTTAGTCTGCTGCTGATGCTGTGGGGTTCCAGCTCGGGAAAGTGAGGAGCTGCGTAGGGGATCGCTTGTTTCATTCAGTGGAGGAGGTGCCGATCGCTGCGGCAGCTGAGGCAGTGGGCTCTGAGACATACCAACCGTAGCCGGTGTAGCGCAATCTAACCCAGCAGTGGATAACTTCACGGGGAGTGAATCACCCAGAGTGGGGGTTGAGGGGGTGGAGGACGAAGACTTTTTACGTTTCAGTCCC